GCATGTGTCTCCTTATAGGAATTAATGGGGTCATGGTGCACGTGTCTTCCCATAGGAATGAATGGAGTCATGGTGGACGTGTCACCACATAGGAATGAATGGGGTCATGGTGTATGTGTCTCCCCATAGGAATGAATGGGGTCATGATGCTCGTGTCTCCCCATAGGAATGAATGCGGTCATGGAGCACGTGTCTCCCCATAGGAATGAATGCGGTCATGGAGCACGTGTCTCCCCATAGGAATAAATGGGGTCATGATGCACGTGTCTCCCCATAGGAATGAATGGGGTCATGGTGCTCGAGTCTCCCATACCAATGAATGGGGTCATGGTGCTCGTGTCTCCCCATAGGACTGAATGGGGTCATGGTGCTCGAGTCTCCCCATAGGAATGAATGCGGTCATGGAGCACGTGTCTCCCCATAGGAATGAATGGGGTCATGGTGCTCGTGTCTCCCCATAGGAATGAATGCGGTCATGGAACACGTGTCTCCCCATAGGAATGAATGGGGTCATGATGTTCGTGTCTCCCCATAGGTTTGAATGGGGTTATGGTGCATGTGTCTCCCCATAGGAATGAATGGGGTCATGGTGCACGTGTCTCCCCATAGAAATTAATGGGGTCATGGTGCTCGTGTCTCTCCATACCAATGAATGGGGTCATGGTGCTCGTGTCTCTCCATACCAATGAATGGGGTCATGGTGCTCGTTTCTCCCCATAGGAATGAATGGGGTCATGATGCACGTGTCTCCCCATAGGAATGAATGGGGTCATGGTGCTCGAGTCTCCACATACCAAAGAATAAGGGCATGGTGCACGTGTCTCCCCGTAGGAATGAATTGGGTCATGATGCATGTGTCTCCCTGTAGGAATGAATGGGTCATGGTGCATATGTCTCCCCATAGGAATGAATGGGGGGTCATGGTGCATGTGTCTCCCCGTATGAATAAATGGGGTCATGATGCATGTGTCTACCCATATAAATGAATGGGGTCATGGTGCATGTGTCTCCCCGTATGAATAAATGGGGTCATGATGCATGTGTCTACCCATATAAATGAATGGGGTCATGGTGCTAGTGTCTTTCCATAGGAGTGAATGGGGTCATGGTGGACGTGTCTCCCCATAGGAATGAATGTGGTCATAGTGGACGTGTCTCCCCATAGGAATGAATGGGGTCATGGAGCACGTGTCTCCCTATAGGAACGAATGGGGTCATGGAGCACGTGTCTCCCTATAGGAACGAATGGGGTCATGCTGCTCGTGTCTCCCCATACCAATGAATTAGGTCATGGTGCTCGTGTCTCCCCATAGGAATGAACGTGGTCATGGAGCACGTGTCTCCCCATAGGAATGAATGGGGTCATGATGCACGTGTCTCCCTATAGGAATGAATGGGGTCATGGTGCACGTGTCTCCCCAGCAGGAAGTAGGAGTATGGCCCCATAATTCTATGTTGTCACACCTCCAAGTACCCCGCTCCCTACACTACATGATGCTGAATCCACTATGCACCATGCTGCCTTCCTCCAGGATGTGGCTCTACCATCTGGCTCTCCACAACTGGTGATCTCCACACAGAATGGAGAAGGTTACACTTCACTGGATGGCTTTGTGCTCCCCTGAATTGTCGCAGGTTCCACCTATATGTGTGTTTTTCTTGCTGTTCCTTAATACTGCTTTCTCATAAAACTGAAGCATTGCTGGGTAGAGGAGGGGCCATGCCAGGGTTGACCTACAATTTTTCTGTTTGCCAGTGTCCCGACCTTCTGCAGATGGCAGTATGACCTAAAAGTCTCTGAATGCCTCTGTCCACTTGATGGACTCCAAGGAAGAGCTCATGGTTCCCTAAAGGAATGAATGTTATGGGGCATGTGTCTCCCCATAGGAATTAATGGGGTCATGGTGCACATGTCTCCCCATAGGAATGAATGGGGTCATGGTGCACATGTCTCCCCGTAGGAATGAATGAGGTTATGGTGCACGTGTCTCCCCATAGGAATGAATGGGGTCATGGAGCACATGTCTCCCCATAGGAATGAATGGGGTCATGATGCTTGTGTCTCCCCATAGGAATGAATGGAATCATGGTGCACGTTTCTCCCCGTAGGAATGAATGGGTCATGGTGCATGTGTCTCCCCGTAAGAATGAATGGGGTCATGGTGCACGTGTGTCTCCCCATAGGAATGAATGGGGTTATGGTGAACGTGTCTACCCCATAGGAATGAATAGGGTCATGGTGCACGTGTCTACCCATATAAATGAATGCGGTCATGGTGCTCGTGTCTTTCCATAGGAGTGAATGGGTTCATGGTGCATGTGTCTCCCTATAGGAATTAATGGGGTCATGGTGCACGTGTCTTCCCATAGGAATGAATGGAGTCATGGTGGACGTGTCACCGCATAGGAATGAATGGGGTCATGGTGTATGTGTCTCCCCATAGGAATGAATGGGGTCATGATGCTCGTGTCTCCCCATAGGAATGAATGGGGTCATGATGCTCGTGTCTCCCCATACCAATGAATGGGGTCATGGTGCTAGTGTCTCCCCATAGGAATGAATGGGGTCATGATGCACGTGTCTCCCCATAGGAATGAATGGGGTCATGGTGCTCGAGTCTCCCCATACCAATGAATGGGGTCATGGTGCTCGTGTCTCCCCATAGGACTGAATTGGGTCATGGTGCTCGAGTCTCCCCATAGGAATGAATGCGGTCATGGAGCACGTGTCTCCCCATAGGAATGAAATGGGGTCATGGTGCTCGTGTCTCCCCATAGGAATGAATGCGGTCATGATGTTCGTGTCTCCCCATAGGAATGAATGGGGTCATGGTGCACGTGTCTCCCCATAGAAATGAATGGGGTCATGGTGCTCGTGTCTCTCCATACCAATGAATGGGGTCATGGTGCTCGTGTCTCTCCATACCAATGAATGCGGTCATGGTGCTCGTGTCTTTCCATAGGAGTGAATGGGTTCATGGTGCATGTGTCTCCCTATAGGAATTAATGGGGTCATGGTGCATGTGTCTTCCCATAGGAATGAATGGAGTCATGGTGGACGTGTCACCGCATAGGAATGAATGGGGTCATGGTGTATGTGTCTCCCCATAGGAATGAATGGGGTCATGATGCTCGTGTCTCCCCATACCAATGAATGGGGTCATGGTGCTAGTGTCTCCCCATAGGAATGAATGCGGTCATAGAGCACGTGTCTCCCCATAGGAATGAATGGGATCATGATGCATGTGTCTCCCCATAGGAATGAATGGGGTCATGGTGCTCGAGTCTCCCCATACCAATGAATGGGGTCATGGTGCTCGTGTCTCCCCATAGGACTGAATGGGGTCATGGTGCTCGAGTCTCCCCATAGGAATGAATGCGGTCATGGAGCACGTGTCTCCCCATAGGAATGAATGGGGTCATGGTGCTCGTGTCTCCCCATACGAATGAATGGGGTCATGATGTTCGTGTCTCCCCATAGGTGTGAATGGGGTTATGGTGCATGTGTCTACCCATAGGAATGAATGGGGTCATGGTGGACGTGTCTCCCCATAGAAATGAATGGGGTCATGGTGCTCGTGTCTCTCCATACCAATGAATGGGGTCATGGTGCTCGTGTCTCTCCATACCAATGAATGGGGTCATGGTGCTCGTGTCTCCCCATAGGAATGAATGGGGTCATGATGCACGTGTCTCCCCATAGGAATGAATGGGGTCATGGTGCTCGAGTCTCCACGTACCAATGAATGGGGTCATGGTGCTCGTGTCTCCCCATAGGTCTGAATGGGGTCATGGTGCTCGAGTCTCCCCATAGGAATGAATGCGGTCATGGAGCACGTGTCTCCCCATAGGAATGAATGGGGTCATGGTGCTCGTGTCTCCCCATAGGAATGAATGGGGTCATGGTGCTCGTGTCTCCCCATAGGAATGAATGGGGTCATGGTGCTCGTGTCTCCCCATACGAATGAATGGGGTCATGATGTTCGTGTCTCCCCATAGGTGTGAATGGGGTTATGGTGCATGTGTCTCCCCATAGGAATGAATGGGGTCATGGTGGACGTGTCTCCCCATAGAAATGAATGGGGTCATGGTGCTCGTGTCTCTCCATACCAATGAATGGGGTCATGGTGCTCGTGTCTCTCCATACCAATGAATGGGGTCATGGTGCTCGTGTCTCCCCATAGGAATGAATGGGGTCATGATGCACGTGTCTCCCCATAGGAATGAATGGGGTCATGGTGCTCGAGTCTCCACATACCAATGAATGGGGTCATGGTGCTCGTGTCTCCCCATAGGTCTGAATGGGGTCATGGTGCACGTGTCTCCCCATAGGAATGAATGCGGTCATGGAGCACGTGTCTCCCCATAGGAATGAATGGGGTCATGGTGCTCGTGTCTCCCCATAAGAATGAATGGGTCATGGTGCATGTGTCTCCCCGTAGGAATGAATGGGGTCATGGTGCATGTGTCTCCCCGTAGGAATAAATGGGGTCATGGTGCATGTGTCTCCCCATAGGAATGAAAACCCATCTCTTCAGGGAAGCCTACCCCACCCCCTGCTAACTTGCCGACCTCCTCCACTCTTCCTACCACCCCATAGGAACGAATGGGGTCATGGTGCACGTGTCTCCCCATAGGAACGAATGGGGTCATGGTGCACGTGTCTCCCCATAGGAACGAATGGGGTCATGGTGCACGTGTCTCCCCATAGGAACGAATGGGGTCATGGTGCACGTGTCTCCCCATAGGAATGAATGGGGTCATGATGCTCGTACACGTAAAAAAAATCTGATATTTTTTGTTTCTTGTTAGAGAAACGTGACATGAAGAAGACCTCAGAGGACCGTGTCTGCATATCTTCTGACTGTAAGATGGAAGGAGAGGACATCACACATCTTGGAGAGAAGCTCTCCTTCAATCCCTATGCAGAACTTTACAACGTGAATGGACCAGCAGATCCCTCTGATCCTGAGGAACCTCAGCATACCAGGCATGGTTCCATGGTCCAAAAGAAGGAAATATTTCCCTTGACTGACTGCGAGGAACCAGTTCTTTGTAAAGCAAGTCTGAATGCATATGAAGGATCTCAAGGCATTGAGAAGCCCCATTCATGCTCTGAGTGCAGGAAATGTTTCTTATTCAAAAAACAGTTGGTCAAACACCAGAGAATTCACTACAGACTGAAAACCTTTCCTTGTGACGAGTGCGGAAAGACCTTTTCCTCCAGAGGCGAACTTGTCAGACACCAGAAAATCCACCTCGGAATAAAGTCCTACACATGTCCCCAGTGCGGGAAGAGCTTCATACAGAAATCAGACCTTATCAGACATCAAACATCCCACCAGGTTGAGAGGCCGTACTTGTGTCCCGAGTGCGGGAAAGGTTTCAAACACAGAGCTGCCCTTACTAAGCATCAAAAACATCACACGGGGGAAAAGCCGCATTCCTGCCCCGAGTGCGGGAGAGGCTTCGTGCAAAAATCAGACCTCTCTATTCATCTGAGAACTCACACGGGGGAGAAGCCGTATTCCTGTTCAGAGTGCGGGAAATGTTTCGTGCAAAGATACCATGTGGTTGTACATCAAAGATCTCACACGGGTGAAAGGCCCTATCCATGCCTACAGTGCGGGAAAGCTTTTAAAAGGCGGTGCTACCTTACCGTGCATCAGAGGAATCACAAAAAGTGATGAGCCGAGCTGGTCCTGGGTTAGTCCTCACGCACACGGGACATTTTTACAGCGGCTGTTTTTGGCTTTTGACGTTTTTTTCTACAGTCAGTAAACCCCCCAGCATGTTATCCTATGTGTCCATACACAGAGACTGGAATCCACGTTTTTTGGTTGGAACCCAGAACTAGAGCGATTCTAGAGGAGTTTTTTATCTGTAAAAATGCTTTACACACACTATATTGCCCCAAATATTGGGCCACCTGCCTTTCCACACACATGACCTATAATGGCCCCCCAGTATTAGTCCCTAGGGTTTTAATATTGAGTTGACCCCGCCCTTTGCAGCTATAACAGCTTCAACTCTTCTGGGAAGGCCATCCACAAGGTTTAGGAGGGTGTCTATGGGAGGTTGGACCATTCTTCCAGAAGCACATTTGTCAGGTCAGGCACTGATGTCGGGGGAGGAGGCCTGGCTCGCAGTCTCCGCTCTAATTCATCCCAAAGGGGTTCTATGGGGTTGAGGTCAGGACTCTGTGCAGGCCAGTCAAGTTCCTCCACCCCAAACTGGCTCCTCCATGTCTTTATGGACCTTGCTTTGTGCACTGGTGCTCAGTCATGTTGGAACAGGAAGGGGCCATCCCCAAACTCTTCCCACAAAGTTGGGAGCATGAAATTGTCCAATCGCCTTAAGAGTTCCCAACCCTGAAAAACAACCCCACACCATAATCTCCCCTCCACCAAACTTAACACTTGGCACAATGCAGTCAGGAATGTACCGTTCTCCTGGCAACCGCCAAACCCAGACATGTCCATTGGATTGCCAGACAGAGAAGCGTGATTGGTCAGAGAACACGCCTCCTCTGCTCTAGTGTCCAGTGGCGGCGTGCTTTACACCACGGCATCCGACGCTTTGCATTGCACTTGGTGATGGAAGGTTTGGATGTAGCTGCTCGGCCATGGAAACCCATGAAGCTCTCTACGCACTGTTATTGGGCTCATCTGAAGGCCACACCAAGTTTGGAGGTCTTTAGCTATTGACTCTGCAGACAGTTGGCGACTTCTGCGCACTGTGCGCTTCAGCATGCGCTGACCCTGCCCTGTCATGTGACGTGGCCACTTGGTAGCTGAGTGGCTGTTGTTCCCAGTTGCTTCCACTTTGTTATAATCCCACTAGCAGTTGAGCGTGGAATATTTAGTAGCCAGGAAATGTCACGGATGGACTTATTGCACAGGTGACCACCTATCACGGGACCACGCTTGGAGTCACTGAGCTCCTGAGAGCGACCCATTCTTTCACCAATGTTTGTAGAAGCAGTCTGCATGCCTAGGGGCTTGATTGTATACACCTGTGGCCATGGAGGGGATTGGAGCACTTGAATCACATGATATGGAGGGGATTGGAACACCTGAGTCACATGATATGGAGGGGATTGGAACACCTGAATCACATGATATGGAGGGGATTGGAACACCTGAATCACATGATTGGGAGGGGATTGGAACACCTGAATCACATGATATGGAGGGCGGGGCCAAAACCTTTGACAATATAAGTGTACATATGCCTGGCTCCCACCAAATGGGAAGTAGTTTGGATGTTCATCAGAACACCTGAACAGCCAAAGTTCGATCTGAGCCTAGGTTCGCAGTGAACAGTCAGCTCATCCCTACTCACAAGAAGCAGAAGCCATACTCCTGTCCCAAGTTCAGGAAATCTTATAAAAGGTTGTACCTCCCTTGTCGAGCATCACAGACCTCACACCAGTGAAAGACCTTATTATGTGCTGAGTGCGGAAAACGTTTTGTATAGAAATCGAACCTTGTATAGGTGAAAGGCCGTTTTCCTGTTCTGAGTGTGGGAAATGTTTAATCAAACCTTGTCTTATATCAGACATCTTGTAGAGGTGAAAGGCTGTATTCCTGTACTGAGTGTGGGAAATGTTTAAGCAAACCTTGCCTTACATCAGACGTCTTGTAGAGGTGAAAGGCCGGATTCCTGTTCTGTGTGTGGGAAATGTTTAAGCAAACCTTGCCTTACATCAGACGTCTTGTAGAGGTGAAAGGCCGGATTCCTGTTCTGTGTGTGGGAAATGTTTAATCAAACCTTGCGTTTTTACACTTTTTCCTTCACTTGACAGATATCCAATTTTTAGACTCCCCTGAGTAATGACAATATATGATATTTAAGTTGCATTGTTGAAAGTTTTCAATATATTTCCATTCCCTCTGAGGAACGTATTAGGAATTAAATAAAATAAAGTTTTGTTGATTTCTCTTTGTGCCTTTAGTGACCTTGTTGGGTGCCTTATGCACAGATGTAGGATACTCATAGTAGGGCTCCGGAACACCCCAGAGATGGACGATAGTCATAGTAGGGCTCTCCAGTCATCCCAGAGATGGAGGATACTCAGTAGGGCCTCCAAACACTGAAAGATGGAGGACAATCATAGTATGTCCCCTGAAGACCCTAGAGATGGAGGATACCAATAGTAGAGCTCTGGAATATCCCAGAGATGGAGGATGATCATAGAAGGGCTCCTGAACACCCCAGAGATGGAGGATGATCATAGTAGGGCTCCTTAACACCCCAGAGATGGAGGATTATCATAGTAGGGCTCCTGAACTCCCAGAGATGGAGGATAATCATAGTAGGGCTCCTAAACACCCTAGATATGGAGGATAATCATACTAGGGAACCTGAACTCCCCAGAGATGGAAGACAATCATGGTTGGGCTCCTGAACATCCAGAGATAGTGGATAAACATAGTAGGGCTCCTGAACACCCCAGAGATGGAGGATGATCATAGTAAGGCTCCTGAACTCCCAGAGATGGAGGACAATCTGAGTTGGGCTTCTGAACCTCCAGAGAGATGTGGATAAACATAGTAGGGCTCCTGAACATCTGCAGAGATGAAGGATAATTATAGTAGGGCTCCTGAACACCCCAGAGATGGAGGATACTCAGTAGGGCTCCTGAACACCCCAGAGATGGAGGATGATCATAGAAGGGCTCCTGAACTCCCAGAGATGAAGGATGATCATAGTAGGGCTCCTGAACTCCCAGAGATGGAGGACAATCATAGTTGGGCTCCTGAACTCCCATAGATGGAGGACAATCATAGTTGGGCTCCTGAACATCTAGAGATAGTGGATAAACATAGTAGGGCTCCTGAACACCCCAGAGATGGAGGATAATCTGAGTTGGGCTTCTGAACCTCCAGAGAGATGTGGATAAACATAGTAGGGCTCCTGAACATCTGCAGAGATGAAGGATAATTATAGTAGGGCTCCTGAACACCCCAGAGATGGAGGATACTCAGTAGGGCTCCTGAACACCCCAGAGATGGAGGATGATCATAGAAGGGCTCCTGAACTCCCAGAGATGAAGGATGATCATAGTAGGGCTCCTGAACTCCCAGAGATGGAGGACAATCATAGTTGGGCTCCTGAACTCCCATAGATGGAGGACAATCATAGTTGGGCTCCTGAACATCTAGAGATAGTGGATAAACATAGTAGGGCTCCTGAACACCCCAGAGATGGAGGATAATCATAGTAGGGCTCCTGAACTCCCAGAGATGAAGGATGATCATAGTAGAGCTCCTGAACATCCTCAGAGATGGAGGATAATTATAGAACAGCTTCCAAACACTGAGACATGCAGAATGATCATAGTAGGGCTCCTGAGCACCCCAGAGATGGAGGATGCTCATAGTAGTGCTCCTGAACACCCCAGAGATGGAGGATGATCATAGTAGGCCTGCTGAACATCCAGCGATAGGGGACTAACATAGCAGGGCTCCTGAACACCCCAGAGATGGAGGATGATCATAAAAGGGCTCCTGAACTCCCAGAGATGAAGGATGATCATAGTAGGGCTCCTGAACTCCCAGAGATGGAGGACAATCATAGTTGGGCTCCTGAACTCCCATAGATGCAGGACAATCATAGTTGGGCTCCTGAACATCTAGAGATAGTGGATAAACATAGTAGGGCTCCTGAACACCCCAGAGATGGAGGATAATCATAGTAGGGCTCCTGAACTCCCAGAGATGGAGGATGATCATAGTAGGGCTCCTGAACATCCTCAGAGATGGAGGATAATTATAGAAAAGCTTCCAAACACTGAGACATGCAGAATGATCATAGTAGGGCTCCTGAGCACCCCAGAGATGGAGGATGCTCATAGTAGTGCTCCTGAACACCCCAGAGATGGAGGATGATCATAGTAGGCCTGCTGAACATCCAGCAATAGGGGACTAACATAGCAGGGCTCCTGAACACCCCAGAGATGGAGGATACTCATAGTTGGGCTCCTGAACACCCCAGAGATGGAGGATGATTATAGAAGGGCTCCTGAACACCAAGAGATGAAGGACAATCATAGTAGGGCTCCTGAACTTCCAGAGATGAAGGATGATCATAGTAGGGCTCCTGAACTCCCAGAGATGGAGGACAATCATAGTTGGGCTCCTGAACATCTAGAGATAGTGGATAAACATAGTAGGGCTCCTGAACACCCCAGAGATGGAGGATAATCATAGTAGGGCTCCTGAACTCCCAGAGATGAAGGATGATCATAGTAGGGCTCCTGAACATCCTCAGAGATGGAGGATAATTATAGTACAGCTTCCAAACACTGAGACATGCAGAATGATCATAGTAGGGCTCCTGAGCACCCCAGAGGTGGATGATGCTCATAGTAGTGCTCCTGAACACCCCAGAGATGGAGGATGATCATAGTAGGGCTGCTGAACATCCAGCGATAGGGGATAAACATAGCAAGGCTCCAGAGCACCCCAGAGATGAAGGATACTCATAGTAGGGCTCCTGAACTTCCAGAGATGGAGGACAATCATAGTTGGCTCCTGAACATCCAGAGATAGTAGATAAACAAAGTAGGGCTCTTGAACATCCTCAGAGATGAAGGATAATTATAGTAGGGCTCCTGAACTCCCAGAGATCAAAGATGATCATAGTAGGGCTCCTGAACTCCCAGAGATGGAGGATAGTCATAGCTGGGCTTCTGAACATCCAGAGATAGTGGATAAACATAGTAGGGCTCCTGAACATCCTCAGAGATGGAGGATAATTATGGTACGGCTTAAAAACACTGAGACATGGCGAATGATCACAGTAGGGCTTCTGAACACCCCAGAGATAAAGGATAATCATAGTAGGGCTCCTAAACACCCCAGATATGGAGGATAATCATACTAGGGTACCTGAACTCCCCAGAAATGAAGGATAATCATAGTAGGGCTCCAGAACACCCCAGAGATGGAGGATAATCATACTAGGGCACCTGAATTTCCCAGAGATGGAGAATGATTATAGTAGGGCTCCAGAACACCCCAGAGTTGGAGGATGATCATAGTAGGGCTCCTGAAATCCAGAGATAGATGATAAACATAGCAGGGCTCCAGAACACCCCAGAGATGGAGGATAATCATAGTAGGGCTCCAGAACCCCCCAGAGATGGAAGATGATCATAGTAGGGCTCCAGAACCCCCCAGAGATGGAAGATAATCAATCATAGTAAATACTGGAAATACTATTCAAAAGAAACGGGGATGCACACAACCCATGTCGCATGGATTAAGCGCATCCCCGTTTTTTTTTTTTTTTTTTGACGAGACCAAGACAACATTAAAGAACAACATCAGCAAACATATTTAACCTCTATGTTGGACACATGGCAGCCACGGTAGACATAACTGAGGTGAGCTCTCTGAGGATCATTAATTACTTTCTAATTTGTTTCTTGTGAACGAGTTAGGGATGCTATGGACCCCTTACTCATTCACATATGGAGGAGGCAAACATCTGGGGGCTCCTTTAGTTTGCTAAAGCTTCCAAATTCCAACAAACCCCCTTGACTGCAAACCCAAGCCACCACCGGGCCAATGCTGTGGAGAAGAGGCCGTTGTCCTCATCAACATGAGGAGAAGGTTCTTTGCTACAGGTTCCACCCTAGCATGGTACCCTCCCCATGTTAAGGGCATATGGCCTGGTATGGTTTGAAGGATGAGCGCATGCCAGCCAAGTTGTATGTTCAGATAAGGGTTTGCTGTGGATTTTGGGGACCCCACACATTTTTTCTTTTTTTTTTTTATGAGATTCCCCATAAAATCCATAGCAGATCCAAAGTTTTCTTGTTTTTTTAAGTGTGGATCCCCCTTGAAATTTATACCAGACCTGCAGAAGGACCCCAAGGAGTGGTTTTTTTTACACTATCCCCGCCTCTTTGTTCACATTTTTCTGTCACCTGGGATTCCCAGCAACTCCCTAACAACCAAGAACCCTAAGTGAGAAGCTGTAACCTTGGTAATAATATTGGTAACCTGCATTACAGAAAGAGGTTTGGCTTGGCCAAACACCCATGGAGTTCAGCCCTTTGTTGAAACTCCCGAACGGTGGAATTTGGTACGAACACGGGCTCTGACCAAACTGAGAGCTCATGCCTAATGGGAAGAAGGGTGAGGGCTGTATGGCAACAAATGGTCTTGTCTTGGCCTTGGTACGGGCAGGCAGTTTGTTTTGTGAAACAGTCCTCTTCCTTCCTTCATAGCTGAGCTCCTCCAAGCTCCTTCTTAATTTGTTCGCCCATGAAAAGATTCTCCGACTGCAGTTCCTCTTGGTTTCCCCAGGTGCCAATCTCACTTATGTCAAGGGAAGGCTCCTACAAAGTCTCTATCATCCAGACAGGAAATGATGTCAGGTACAGGCAGGAAGTGATGTCAGATATAAATATTGGGTTCCAGGCAAAAGGTGAGTTGGGAGGAAGTAGATTGGAGATATTGCTGGAACTGGCCGCAGAGGAGGTAATAAGTGATGGGTGGACATGTATATATTTATAAATGTACATTAACCCCTTTAGACTCCCCTTTGGGGCCACATTTTTGTGTTTAGATATTTCCTTTAAATAACTTTAAACTTTTGTACTCTGAGTGCAAGTCATATGCAATTCTTCGGGAGGGCAGGTGGGGCTTTCGTTTTGGAAAAAGAAGACATACAGATAAAGTCTAGGGAAAAAAGAGGGGGAAAACATTTTACAAAAATCTAAATTTCCAGTAATTTTTTCCAATCCTAATTGTTACACAATTTTGTACGACTGCAGATATTCACTCCAAAATTGTACTTGGAAAACTCGTTGGCTCCTAATTAGGGTTGAAGCCAAATCCAAAGTCCATCTTCCACTATTGGGAAAGGTGTTTGTCTCTATCATTGTCATGTCACCTGGGCGTAGCTGAATGTAAAGGATCTGTTTGAGTAATGACAGGTTCTCGTGTATCCAGGTCATGGTACATCTAGTAGGAACTGGTCACATTCAATTGGACTTGTTTTGTATAGCTGAAGACCTTTTGTAGCTAATTCAAACCTCTCCTTCAGGCTAAGCCCATGTGTCTGTGAAGGTTCTCGTGTATCCAGGTCATGGTACCTCTAGTGGTAGTCAGCCACATTCATCTGGACTTGTTCAGTAATGTTGAAGATGTTTCATAGGTTCTTCAAGTCTCTTCTTTAGGCCATGTCCCTGTGTCTTTGAGGGTTCTCGTGTATCCAGGTCATGGTACATCTAGTAGTAGTCAGCGACATTCATCTGGACTTGTTTAGCAATGTTGAAGATGTTTCATAGGTTCTTCAAGTCTCTTCTTTAGGCCATGTCCCTGTGTCTGTGAGGGTTCTCTTGTATCCATGTCATGGTATGTCTAGCAGAAGTTGGTCACATTCAACTGGACTTGCTCTGTAATGTTGAAGATGTTTTGCAGTTTCTGCAAGCCACTTCTTCAAACTAAGACCATGTATCTGTGAAGGTTCTCATTTACCCTTAGCTTGTTATCCTTTCACAGAGAGGAGCATTCTCCATAGATCACATGAGCACCTCAAAGAGGATGGAGGAGGACCGAAGTCAGATGACTAAGAGGATATTAAACCTCACCCTGGAGATCATCTGCCTGCTGACCGGAGAGGTGAGGAGGATTCTGGGAGGTCACATGACATCACTCTCATCTCTATTAATAAAACACAGACCTGACCGGAGAGGTGAGGAGGATTCTGGGAGGTCACATGACATCACTCCTATCTCTATTAATAAAACACAGACCTGACTGGAAAGGTGAGGAGGATTCTGGGAGGTCACATGACATCACTCCTATCTCTATTAATAAAACACAGACCTGATAGGAGAGGTGAGGGGGATTCTGGGTAGGACATATAACATCACTGTTGCCTTTTCTTTGCAGAGTTTTCTTCCTCTAAAGGATGAAGACCAACTAACCTTCACCATGCCTCCGCCTCGATTCTTGATACTTAAGAGAAGCAATGAGAAGAAGATTCTCAAGGTCATCAAGAATATGATGGAGCTGCTGACAGGAGAGGTGAGCGGTGCTGGGAATTCTGGGACATTCTCCAGTAACAGACAAGGGATGTGTCTGGATGGTGACTGTATCATTGTGTGTGTCAGGTTCCTATAAGGTGTCAGGATGTCACTGTCTATTTCTCCATGGAGGAGTGGGAGTATTTAGAAGGACACAAGGACCTCTACAAGGACGTCATGATGGAGGATCAGCTGCTCCTCACATCACCGGGTAAGAGGAGATTTTATTGGAAAGGAGAGAGCAGTACGGAGGCTCCACCTAGATCCCCCATCATCTGATAAACACATAGAAACAATGGATTCAGTCAGTGTGTGTGTTTCCTACAGATGGATCCAGTCATGGGAACCCACCAGAAAGATGTCCCCATCCTCTGTATTCCCGGGATTCCACACAGGAAGGTCACACCATCCCTCATCATCATCAGGTAGATGGATCCAGTCATGGGAACCCACCAGAGAGATGTCCCCGTCCTCTGTATTCCCGGGATTCCACACAGGAAGATCACACTTATGCTCAACATTATCAGGTCAACTTCTTGGTCAAAAAAAGCGACTCACCACCTCTACAACACTTTTATTTTTACAGATGTTGCTTTCTGTCATTCTATTGGTTTAGAGTGAAGAACAGGTCAATGTTAAAGTTGAGGTTAAGGAGGAAGAAGAAGAACAGCCAACAGAGAAGGATACGGTGAAGGTGACAATCAAAGAGGAGGACACTCCTACAGAGATCCACACAGGTAGTCATGAACGTTGAGCACAATGGTTCTGTTGTTTAGTAAGGATACTACTTCATTATTGGTTCAGTAATAGAAATTGAATAATGGGGGTGCGGAATCTTGGGGCTTTAAGTTGGTTTCCTCTGAAGCCATGGCTGAAGGAACACCTAAGGGGCCTTCACTTTTATGGGAAGAGCAACTTGACCATAGGGTCAGCAATCAATGTCTGGTCTGGGTTAGCTTGAAGCCAACCTTTTCATCTACAAAGAATATTTTTGATCTCATTTTTATTCAGGACATGAAATGGTTCCCTCAGAAGATCTTCAAAGTTCATCTCCCCATTGTGATAGTAGAGGTGAAGGCGATGCACAAGATCCACAGAGAGAAAACGTTGAGGCCAGACCACCAGATCCCTCCAACAAAGGGGACTCCAACGCTGGATACGAAGAGGATAATTTTATACTCCTGCCCCGATTGCGGGAAATGGTTTTGTCTGAAGTCCCGTCTCAACGCCCACATGAGATACCACATGACAGAGAAGCCCTATCCTTGCTCCGTGTGTGGGAAGGGCTATCTATCGAAAGCTCAGTTGGTCGATCACCAGAGAGTTCACACCGGAGAGAAACCTTTCTCTTGCTCAGAGTGCGGGAAGAGTTTCTCCTTTAAGGGTAACCTTGTCGAGCATCAGAGACGTCACTTAGGGGAGTCCCACACTTGTTCCGTGTGCGGGAAAAGTTTTTTACTAAGGACCTATCTTGTCAGACACCTGAGATTTCACACGGGCGAGAAGCTCCATTCATGTTCCGAGTGCGGGAAATGTTTTGTCCGTAAATCAGAACTGGTCGTGCATGAGAGATACCACACGGGAGAGAAGCCGTATTCCTGCCCGGAGTGCGGAAAACGTTTTGTACGCAAGTGTCACCTCGGTGTACATCTGAGGTATCACACGGGAGAGAAGCCGCACTCGTGTCCTCAGTGCGGAAAGGGTTTCACGCGCAAGTCAGACCTCGTTGCACATGAAAAAAACTCACAAAGTTGAGAAGCCAGTTTCTTGCCTAGTGTGCGGGAAATTTTTTACTCGGAAGGTCATGCTCGCAAGACATCGGAGAACTCACATGGCTAAAAAGACGTAAATAACATATTGTTAGGCGCCTGGGGAATCCACGCGGGTGATTGGCCTGGTCATAGTGTGGGAAACGTTTTTGAATAACAGTTAAGTTCATTAAATAGGTGCTGAGAAAAATATCAAAACTGACTTTGCTGAACTTTGCTAAAATTGCTCATTGCCTGGCTGTTATGCCAACTCACCAAGCTGCTCATTCACCTGGCTCCACCTTGGATCCACTATTGCAGCTCCCTCCTCATTGGCTTATCTCTGAACAGACCACTCCCCCTTCAGTCTATCATGAATGGTGATGCCAGACTCCTCTACCTTACCAGCTGCCCAGTGTCCTCCACCCCTCTCTGACAATCCCTTCACTGGCCTCCGCTCAGTGTCCTCCACCCCTCTCTGCCAATCCCTCCACTGGCCTCCGCTCATGGTCCTCCACCCCTCTGCCAATCCCTCCACTGTCCTACTTTTCAGGGTCCTCCACCCCTCTCTTCCAATCTCTCCACTGGCCTCCATTCAGTGTGCTCCACCCCTCTCTAACCTTCCCTCCACTGTCCTACTTTCAGGGTCCTCCACCCCTCTCTGCCAATCCCTTCACTGGCCTCCGCTCAGTGTCCTCCACCTTTCTCTGTCAATCCCTCCACTCAGTGTCCTCCACCCCTCTCTGTCAGTCCCTCCACTGGCTTCCCATTCAGTGTCTTCCATCCCTCTGCCAATCCCTCCACTGTCCTACTTTTCAGGGTCCTCCACCCCTCTCTTCCAATCTCTCCACTGGCCTCCATTCAGTGTGCTCCACCCCTCTCTAACCTTCCCTCCACTGTCCTACTTTCAGGGTCCTCCACCCCTCTCTGCCAATCCCTTCACTGGCCTCCGCTCAGTGTCCTCCACCTTTCTCTGTCAATCCCTCCACTCAGTGTCCTCCACCCCTCTCTGTCAGTCCCTCCACTGGCTTCCATTCAGTGTCTTCCATCCCTCTGCTAATCCCTCCACTGGCTTCCATTCAGTGTCCTCCACCCTTCTCTGCCAATCCCTCCACTGACCTCCATTCAGTGTCCTCCACTCCTCTCTGCCAATCCCTCCACTGACCTCCATTCAGTGTCCTCCACTCCTCTCTGCCAATCCCTCCACTGACCTCCATTCACTGTCCTCCACCCCCCTCTTCTAATCCTTCCGCTGGCCAATGTTTGGTGGCCTCCACCCCTCTCTGCCAATCCCTCCACTGGCCTCCGCTCAGTGTCCTCCACCCCTCTGCCAATCCCTCCACTGTCCTACTTTTCAGGGTCCTCCACCCCTCTGCCAATCCCTCCACTGTCCTACTTTTCAGGGTCCTTCACCCCTCTCTGCCAATCCCTCCACTGTCCTACTTTTCAGGGTCCTCCACCCCTCTCTGCCTTCCAATCAACCAATGAATCAAATTCATAACGCCAACAACAACACACAAAACCATCCACAACTCTGCTCCCAGCTACATCACCAAACGCATCTCAAAATAGTAAACAAACCATCCTCTGTACTCCTCTCAAGGCCTCCTGCACTATAGCCCCCTTATCACCTCCTCCCACACTCACTTCCAGGACTTCTCTAGAACCTCTCTCATCCTTTGGAACTCCCTACCCCAATGTGTGCAGCTATCTCCTGCTCTGTCCACTTTTAGGTGATTCCTGATACCTCTGCAGGGAACCTATCCCGCCGCCACCTAACTGTAATTTGACTTTCTCCATCAACTCATTGATCATCTTCTCTCATGCTCACCTCCATGACTTCTCCAGAACCTCTGCTATCCTCTGGAACTCCCTGCCCCAATCTGTCTAGCTATCTTCTATTATATCCACCTTTGGGTGATCCCTGATAATGCACCTCAGCAGGGAAACCTACTGACTGGAATTTGACTTTCTCCATCAATTCACACTTATCACCTTTTGTATCATATGCCCCTCCTTTTTTAGATTGTAAGCTCTCATGAGCAGGTCTTGCTAACCCTCTTGTATTGGATTGGATTGTAACTACTGTCTCCCTTTATATTGTAAAGCGCCTTTTAAGCTGTTGGCGCTCTATAAATCTTGTACAATAATAACTCTCATTGAAGACCTCACATTGTTGGTCAACTCTTGTCCTGAGTGAGGGGTGTAATGAAGGGGAAAATGCAACCCCACCTAGTGCTCATGGAGCAATGGTAGACTCTCATTGTTGGGCAGTGGGGAGAAAAGCTCTCAGATTTGGAAACTCTGCCAAAATCTCTTTTAACCGGGTATAGAACCACCAAACGGAAGTACTTTGGATCTCAACCTAGTAGACTTGGTGGAAAGCACTTAAAAAGTATTCGGGGTTCGACAACTCCCCAAAAGAAGGCAAAATGAGAGGTTTGCTGGCTGCCACACACCTCACTTGCCCATGTAGTAGACCGGTAGAAGCAGCCTCAGCTCAGCCCATTAAGGACATGCCTCCAATGCGTTTTGCCCAACCTCCAGGGCTTAATCATGACCTGGAGCTCAGTCCATCAAGGAGGTGGCCTTGATGGACTGAGCTGAGGCTGCTTCTATCTGTCTACCACATGGCTGAGTGAGGTGTACGGCCTCTCCTTTTGCATGCATCCCTTGGGTCTGGACAAAAATCCATCCCCTGCCTACACCCTCACTGTTTCAGAGGCATCAATCCCACAGCCTGAGCGGGGATCCCCCAAGCAATAATCTAGGGTCACAACTCCCCAACAGAAATGTATTAGTTTCCTGTATTCTGATACTGCCCCTCTTCATTCCAGAGAATTGTGAAATGTATATTATTCATTGGTAGGTCACACATACGTCAGCTGAGTAGAGTCTGCAAAGAAGTATAAAACCTTACATCCTTGGAAATGTTATGCCAAAAAAATCCTTACGCCAGCTTTGCCCAACCTTTTTACCCTCAAAGAACCCTTAATCAAATTTTGAAGTCTCTTGGAACCCCTACTAAAACCAATTCATTGGGGGGGATGAAAAACAGCTTATATATTGTTGGCCAGTCGAAAGAATGCCACCCCTAGAGTGGTGGCCAGAATGCCACCCTTAAAGAGACCTACAAAAATCATTGGTATCTTGCAGCTGACTCTGCCAATTGGCATTTACTGTAGAACACAGATGTCAAGCACAAGGCCCGCGGGCCAAATCTGGCCCTCCAGGCCATTTCATGTGGCCCTTGCACCTCTCCTGCAGGTACCCCCCTTGTTTTTGCCCCCCACCTTGTCTCAGCAGTCGGTAGCAGAGAGGAGAATAGAACTCCTCTGCCAAATCCTGCACCACTCAGTGCAGCTGCAGCACCTCCTCATCTCTGCCACCCCTAGTCTCAGTATTCGGCAGACTCTGGTAACTGATTCCACTCCTCTGGTCCTCCTCCAGACCCTGCACTTTCTGCTTTCCAGCTCTGCCTCCAAAGGGGGTGCACGGTAAAGTTAGAGAGGGATTCTTGACATCTTATATAATGGGGGGTTGGGTGCTCTGGACATCTAGTCTTTCAGATACAACCGGCCATCTGAGGGCAATCAGAATGCTGATATGGCCCGCAAAAAAATGGAGTTTGAGACCCCTGCTGTAGAACAACCATCAAATTGGAAGTCCATTAGCCACAGCTTAAGGAACCCCTAGCAACCTCTAGAGCAGCGGTGTCAAACTGGCAGCCCTCCACCTGTTGCGAAACTACAAGTCCCATCATGCCTCTACCTTTGGGAGCCATGCTTGTAACTGTCAATCTTGCAATGCCTCATGGGACTTGTAGTTTGGCAACAGCTGGAGAGCCACCAGTTTGACACCCGTGCTCTAGAGGAAACCTAGGGTTCCACAGAACCATGTTTGCCTTACACTGTAGATGCTGGTCAACTTCAAGTCATTTCAGCTTTGTAAAATGTTTCCTCTAGATAGGTGGCACAGTGAAATAAAGAGCTTCACTGGTGCCATTTTTTGGTATCCAGCAATGCAGATGTGGTCAATCCCCAACACAGATAGGTGCACAGTGAAATAAAGACCTTCATTGGTGCCATTCATTGGTGCCATTCCTTGGTGTCCAGCAATGCAGATGTGGCCAATCCCCAACAGTCCACCTGACATCATAGCTACAGCCTCCTCTTCTGCATCCCGAGAAAACTCCACCACTGGACAGCCGAAAGGAGGGGACGGTTGGGACTGGCTTTTATTTTGGTTTTTTGGATGGAAGTAACACTTGGGTTGGTGCATTTGCTGGGAGAGAGCACAAATTACCATCAGAGGGTAAGAGAGAGATGACCAGGACTGCAGCATCACGTGTTCATGGCTTTAGGTGAGTAAAAAGGGCATTTTTTTGCAATTCAGGTGATCAGTTAGAGGGGGGCATGGGGCTAAGGTGGAATTTATAGTATTCGACATTCTTTAGGACTCCACTGAGCCTCTGCATGACAAATATTGGTGGAGGCAACAGATCCATGTACATGAATTTTTGGGCAAGCAATGTGAGGGGAGGAGTACTGTGACCAGAGACCCTATCACCACTGCAGATGTCACA